TCCAGGATGTTTTACTTTCATAATAACTCTTTGTCCATCCACTGCTGTAACATCAATTTGAGGACATTGGTGATCCTGTATCTGGTTAAATCTGAACAAGAAATATGAACCCAACACATGCTTTACTAACATCAGTATCACAACTCTGATAGCTCCTTTTAAGTATCTGACAATTGCGTTATTTATGGGCTTCGCCAAGATATTGTTTCAGCTGTCACATTCTGCCTATCTGTGTATCTCATTTTACATAGCAATCTTGTCTATATAAGGATTAAGTAACACTTATTGTGATTGGAATTTTAGGTATGACAATTACATGCCTTCCTAGCAGAAAGTACAACCTTCTAATAACACCCCAAGCAACCAAAGATTCCAGTTATATTTGTTTTCTTATTAGGCTATCATTGATATCCATTTGTTTGACATATAATCCTATTTTTCTTGTACTGCAGTTTCATAATTTGCCACATCCTTCAGATAAGTTGCAGGAAAATCACCCTTAGGCTATCCTACAGTAGTATACTTAATACCAGTTATTCCTCTAAGCATATGATTCAGCAGTAAAACATCAAAACTAATATAGCAGTGATCATTTGCACTCAGATGTTTCCCAATCTCCACCTTCTCAACAATTTCTGTATTATGTATTAGAAGTTAAACACAAATCTAAAATGGCAATCTTCCTAGTAGGGTCCTTGATCAATTGGTAAAGAAAACTGTCCTGAATTTTTTCTAAAAACCTATCTTCCTCATGGTTTGACTCAAACATTTCATAATCTATATGGCTGGATGGATGAAAGCAGAGAGTTGTTATAATTGGAGTTCAGTCAAACTGGATTAATGACACAAGTGGGGTTATGGGTACAATAGGGCTCAGAGCTAGGATATATTCTCCTTTTTCATCAATAGGATTCTAGGTTGTATCTGCAGAAATATTGAATTTAAGTCTTAAGAGGTTATAACTTCATTGTATAGGTCATTGTTTATATCACATTTGGAGCATTGTGTTCAGTCTTGGGTTCTAAGTTAGAAAGGACTTAGAGGAGTAGGGCTAGTAAGATGATACCTGTGATAGAAAAGTTGTCATATGAGGAGAGATTAAGATCTCTGAAAGTGTTTTCTCTCAATAAAAGATGGGTTAAAGGGGATCTGATTGAGGTATTTAAAGTTAAGGGAATTGATATTGTTGATGCATCATCTTTTTTATGTGCTTAATGGTGAGAATATTAGAAAAAGGGGAAAAAGATTTTGGGAGGCTAGGAGTCGTATTCAGATAAGGCAGTTTTATTTTTTTAACAGTTGTTTTTGGAATGGGTTGCCTTCAGATGTGGTGGCTTCAGTAAATTTTAGGGGGTTTAAGGCTTGATACATATTTGAATGATAAGGGCTGATTTTGAACTTTTTTAAAGTCTAGCTTAGTGGATGGGACAACCTGTATGGACCAACAAGTCTCTTGTGTCCTTAAATTTTATGTTTGTGTAATATCATACTGAAGAAAAAGATCTTGGCATAGTGATGGATATGTCACTGATGCCATCAAGGCAGTGTACTATTGCTATTAGCAAAGCTACATAAAGTTTGCTATATTCTGAAGATAATGGGATGAGAGAATACAAGTTTCACATAATGTACAGACAACAAGGAAACTATTTAGCCCTTCAAGACTGGCCTTGCATACCTACCTTGAGAAAAATTTAAACCCACCTTTTATTTTCCAGGAAATTTGCAAATACTCTCTTACACTCCTGTAAAGCACTGGTCTCTTCTACATTTGACAGCAACTCATTTTTTAAGTCAATCGCCCTATTAAAAAGTAAACTGTCCTTTGTAAGTCTTAAGCTTGTGTCCTCTTATTCTGTTATCTTTATATATGTGGGAATATCCTACGGAAACTTAGTGCAGCCCTGTTAACAGCCTGTTACAATCAAATATTTTAATTAACCCATTCAGAGTTGTAGTTACACTAGTGAATGTAGTTTTATTAGGTGCTCATGGTAAAATGCTGGAGAAATCATTAGTATTTGACATATAATATTTTTGATTTATATCTTATAAAGACTCGCAACAAATTTCCTTTCATCCATATTACAAATTAACATTTACTAAAGCAGCACTTGTTCAATATTTAAATACTGATTTCTGTCTGATTCATCAGTGTTTTCTCATATATTTTCTTAGATTTTTATTCCAAAACTTACTTTGTTTTACAAATATCTTCACTTTTTGTTCATGAAGATGGAAAATACCTTTGTATTTTTTGTATTGTCATTACTACAACATGTAATGGCCTATCTTAGCTGTCATTACTCATCATGAATAATTTACAAAACACTTTTGAATGCTGACAATACTTTTGATAACAGATGACAAACATAAAACATTTAACCACCTGTGCTGAGATACAGGGGTAAATTTCTAGAAAATTTTATGCCTGTACTCAGTATACCTACATAGTAAACATGGAAATATTCACATGTATACTAAGCTCCATGATTTTTAAATCTGATTTAACATGTTGACTGCCAACCATGAGTATACTTGTAGTGCAGGGTGTACCAGATTCTGCCACTATGAGTATACTCGTAGAAAAGATTACGCTAATGTATAGTAAACAGAATAATGCTGGTGTCTCAGATAATGCAACAAAAAATCTGCTAGCAGTTTAGGAAACATAAATCTATGTAATAATTATGATAAAATATGTATTGTATCATTATTTGCACTATTGAAATTCACTAAGGTGCGAAAACACGATATCTTCACGAAAGTTCACTTCAACACAACTGAGACTAAAGAATGGATGGTTACAATGCAAAAATAAATTATTATAACTGAAGTAAGGTTATTCTACATGATCCATGGCATTGTTTGATCAGGCTTGAATCAAAAGTAATTGATAATCAATAAACATTTTCAAAATATATGATTTTATTTTTTCAATGTTACATGAACTAATAAGTTCTCACATCATAACCAAATGACAAAAATAGAATAATGTGGTTTTGTTTATCTGTATTATTGAGGCACATGGTATTGCTAGTTTTTCAGGGCAGACATCATGTGTTGCAGCTTTCTCGTCTCCTCCCATCCTTTGAGCAGACATAACATGGTTTAGTTGGTTTCTATTTCTTTTCTGTGTGTGGCAAACATATGAATTAGTGAAACGATTTATCCTTTGGAATTGGAATTGCATGTTGACCCTGGCCTTGAAGATTCGTCATGGTATTTCCTAGCAGATGAATGGTTACCTGTTCACGAAACTTCAAGAGTTTCATTTGCTCTTGATTCGCATGGTTTATAGAGTTTGATTCCATATTGGTGGCATTTATTTCTCATATATTGTCAAAACAAGAGCTTGCCATGCCAAAGTACCATGGACTCATCAATGCACAAATCTTTTCCTGGATAGTAAATGTGGACCATTTCATTATTGAAGAGATCCAGGAGAGATAATATCTTATACAAATGATCATTTTGGGGTTGGGAATTGTCTGCGAAATGCCAAAAATGTAAGAGCATTTGAAAGCGATTGCAGCTCATAACACCACTGTAAAGTGATGTCTTGTACAGAATATCAGTACTCCAGTAGTGTTCCCAGGTTGGTAGGCTGTTTGGACAAAAAACTTTTTCATTTCTGTTGCATCAGTGTCCTTCCAGTATTTTATTGTGATTCTCTTTGCAGTGGTTATCGTTTGGTTATTTCGGCTGCTACATATCGGTTGTTTCTGTGATCATAATATCCAGTAATTGTGGAGTCAGGAATAGGTCAAAATAATTACCAGGTGAACCATCTTGTAATTGAATTCTTAGACTGGAGTTTTCATTGAAAGTGAAATTAGGTGGATCTTTGACCAATTATGCAATGAGACAGTAGGGTTCACATTTCCAACTTTTCTGCCTAGTGCTGGAGCAGCAGCCGCACTTCTGCCACGAACTGGTGTAGCAGACCCATGTCCACCACCTCTTGTCCTTACTCCATGATCTTGTGGTCATCTGGTGCAGACCCAATGAACTCCAGGTTTTCCACATACTGCTGGTACTCCATTGTCATCACTTGATGAATATGAGTCTGATGAAACCATTGGGTTGCCATTTGCACTAGGATGGTTATTGCTACTATCTTTGGTTGGCATTTTGACATGAAAGTCGCTGTCATCTGAGGGAATTTCTCCATGTCTTGATCATAATTGTCATCATTATCAGTTTCTTTTAGAAGCTTTGCAACTTGATCTGCATTCATGCCTGCCATATTTAAGAGTAATGATAGTAGCAACAAAAAGCACAGTGCACACGATCACCAGTTGCAGAAACTTAGTACCAAAGTCAATTCAGTGCTAAAAATAGTGCTACAAGATAACTCGTTCCTGGCATACAGAATTGAAAATCTTGTCACACTGCCAGCTGTGAGTTTTTCATAAAATGGTAATTCCCCACCAGTGTATTAGAAATGAACTTATAATTACTCATAGAAGGATAAAATTCGAAAATATAGCATATGTATATGCATACTTGACTTGGCAAATGGGATGGATGTACACTATAAGAGTTGGCAGTCTACGTGTTAGCAGTATAGTAAGTATGTCATGCCCTGAAATATTTATAGCTGTTTTATATTTTAACAGAATGGTATTGTATTTGATACTTGTAATTTGGTTCAACAACCTTTAAGCCAGTACTTAATGTTGCCACTAAAACCATTTATTGATAATGTGTACCAGTGCATATTAGGCATTACTAGGTAAAGCTCACTTCTGGGTAGAATGACATCACAAACTGAGATAGCCAACATTGGACTGTATATTTTCCAACCATGAAACAAATGTAAAAAGGTAAGGTATATATGAATGCAGTAGGCAATGGTGAAAAGTGGTTGTATAGAAAATTCTGTTCATTCTGAAGTTTCAGAGGTTAAATTTATGAAATTTTACATTCTTGTTCTGAGTCACGTGAAATTCACTTGTACATAAAATCAGTTGTTATTTATACTAGTTAGATAGCAAATGGCAATTTTTTCTTCTTTTAATATAGATTTAAAGGGTTTATCAGGCTCACTTGATAGCCTTGACCCTAAAGGTTCTGTCAAGTATAGAAGAAAAAAAAACATACCTGGTGCTGCATTCTTTGAACAGTATGGATTTGGATGGCTAGTTGAGGAAGATGGTAGTGATAAAGAAGAGGAAGACAAACCATTGCTGTAAGTTTAATGACATTGTAAACTATTTTACATGACTATAATTACTGAAATTAAACTTATTTAATTATCATTGATGTAAATCATTCTCAGTAATGATAATGTGTAGAATTTCTGTGTAGAGTTAAGCAATCTATATAGGAGCTGTGTTTGTAATGATGGTTGTAGAGTATTATGTGAGCAAGGCTTTACTGTATGGACGATGATAGGAAGAATATCCTACTGATTTTTCTTTCTTTCTTAATAAAACAAACATTTTAAATATATTTATCTAATATAGAAATTCAGTTAAGTACTTAAGCATTGGAAGTAGGATTATAGACTTTTTGTGCACATGCACTAAATGTGCACCAAAGGATTTGGTTGGACTTTTAGAGCTGACAGGAACTTCGTTATGACATTCATCCCCCACCTTAAAAATTAGTAAATTGCCAATATGGTGATTGTAAGATATGTAGAGTTAATTTAAATTTAAGTGTTATCATCAACACAATCTCTTTTTTCTAGCTTAAGGTCAGTTCTATCTGAGTTGTACATCAATATGCATAAAAAAAGTATGTTTTGCCAACACTCTTTGATGTGATTGTTACATTCACTGAGGTAGTTGTAGAGAAAGCATAAGGTGGAAATACATGAGTACTTGACCACATATTCACCTGAGTAATATTTTGGATATTCTTTTACTCTGAATGATGGCAATATCAATGAAACATCACAATCAGTGTTTAAAGAGAACACTCACACGGTTTAAAATGTAGGACAATTTGGTGATATAACCACAAAAATTTTATTACCTGACACTGAAACTATTAAGTTTGGTAATCAAATTCTTTCTGCCTTTATTCATTCAAATTGAAGAACTAATCTCCCAATTTGTGTGAAGTATGCCATGCAGTGTTGCTGATAAACAGTTGACAGTACCTGTACATCAAGGAAGCTCTTTACAATTGTACTACTATATGACATTGATATGAAGTAAAAATGTGTCAAAAATTAAAAGAAATGTACTAGAAACACATTCTGTTATTACTGACTATATAGTGCAATGTACCTATATGAACTTTGGGTCAGTTTTATACTGCAGTGAACTATTAGTCTTTGGGTATTAATCAATGAAAACTGCAATATAAGTCACACTATTCTGCTGAAATAAGTATCACAGCAAGTTTCATCTGTAGTAGTCTACAGAGGTTTTAAATCATGTTGAAAAGTCTGAAGTTTTGGTCTGTGATGGTATTGTTTCTTATACAACTGTAATTCTAAATTGTAAATATAATATACTTACTAAAGATAACTAAAGAGAATAGTGATTAACAGCACATTAAAGTAAAAACATTATCAAGATTATTTATTTTAAAATGTCTTATTAAATGTGTATTTTGAATAATAGAACAGTCATGCCATTCAACAACTTGCGTGTTTTGTGTTCACGTGCAGGTCTGTGTCATATCAATTGTATTATATGTACATCTATGATTATCAAAATTGTTTATTTAAAAATGTTGTATTCAATATATTTTCTCAATACTTGAACAATCATGTCATCTAATAATCTGCCATGCACTTTTGATCTTTATGCTTTGGCTTACCAGAAGTGACTGGGTAAGTTATCTTTTCTATGTGTATTTTTCTCTCAAGGGGCATGTCCCATTTAGGAATCGGGTCCTGCTCAGTGACAGTGGTGTTCTGCTGGTGTAGATGGTGAGCAATCTTCCAATCATGCACTCCACTTCTGTGTAGTGGGTTCTGGAGGTTGATGTTGCACACAGCTTCTGTGCAGTTCTATCCAGAGTTTGCTTATATTTTATAGATGTAACTCACTTTCATGCGGTGGGACCCAGAGGTTGTTATTGCACTCTATCCTTTGTGCAGCCATATCTGGAGGATGATATTGCTTTGGAGAAGATCCATCACACACAGTTCACCCCTTTGATCGGGATCTCGCATCCTACCACCACTTGGATGTCAGTTCCCAGTGAGTGATTTTGAATTAGAGCTGGACCAATCAACAAAAATCCTCGCACATGTGTTGGTTGTATTTCCTCTTCCTCACTCAATTTACCTCAGGATCTCCACCTCTGTGTGGTGGGTTACGGAGGTTGATGTTATGCCCAGCTTCTGTGTGGTTCTATTCAGAGGGTATGGTTCCTATATATTTCTAGAGAGGATCCACTTCCTTGCACCGGGACCTGAAGAGTGGAGTTGGGCTCTGTCTTCTGTGCAGCCCTACCCTGAGGATAATGTTGATCAGGGGGATGGTTCTTCTTCTCACACTCCACCTCAGGGTGTTTCATTACCTGAGGCTGATGTTGCACAGTGGGGTGCCAGTCTGATTAAGTTTGAGTTGACCTGCCATCATTCGGATGTCTGGTTCCTAAATGTGTGGTTGGTTGTAGATTTGCGCATTTGTCCATTTCGTAGATTGGTTTGCACAGTATACACTTACATAATACTTAACTTGAGGCAAAGAAGGTGTGGTCCCTCCTCCTACCACGTGTCGGAGGTTCTATTCTGGATGTTGCTTGGTTTTGGACTGGAGTTGACCAGTTGCATACGGTCTGTCATGCCTTAGCCACTCTACACCTTTTCACAATGGCACTGATGGTCAGATTTTATTTTCTTTCTTTTTTTAGGTTTCACACCCAACTTATTAAAAAAACAATATATTTGTATATTATGGATTTCAAATGAGACCCAAAACTCGAGCACTTTCGAATAGTTCACTATTCTTCTTTAGGAGAATAAAGGGTTATGTTTAATGAGTGTAATGAAATATATAGGCACAGATGTCAATGTCACCTAAACCAGATGTTCAATATGAGTTAGCTTTGAGAACTAGCCAGTCATAACCTAGTGTTGTTAATGTCAGGTTTAGTTTGTGCCAAAGAGGTGTGTACAGTACATGAAAGACTTATGTGTGATAATAGTTATAAGAAATGTTAACCAATTTATTTTTAAGATAGAATAAAAAATATAAAATAAATAACAGCAAAAGGTGGTGGTAAATAGAGAGTTGTTTTGGTTTGACTTACATATTGGAAGTTGCATTTTTACAACTGGATTAAGTAAGTAATATTTTATGTTGAGAAAACAGTTTGTCCTACTGAACAACAGAAACTTGATGCATTTATTAACAAAACAAAGAAGACTTTTGAAAATCACATGAAAAACAACAATAAAAAAACACATCATGATCTTTCACATAAGGATAAAGGTTTCTCCCATCGAAACCTTAATATCTGTTTACAACAAAATACTAACTTTAAACAGACTCATACTAATACCATCTGTGAGCTGCTGACTAATAACTCCAACAATGTAAACAAGTACATTGAGCTGTCTCATAAAATAGATTCTATTTCTGACTCCTTTAACTTAGTCACTTCTGAATTCGATCAACCCAAACCCAAGAACACTTCATATGTCGTCAATCTGCCCCTCTAAAACACTAACTGTAACTCAACACTATCACCCAGAAACTAAACAAAGCTAACAATATACCACGTGAATCTGCCTTGAAACAATTACCTAAAACAAATTCTTCTCGTGTTCCATTGATTATAACCTATTACCCAAAACTAAAAACCTACCCTGGATTCTACTCTGACTCCCTTAACTTAGTCACTTCTGTAAGCTTTGTTTAGTTTCTGGGTGATAGTGTTGAGTTACAGTTAGTGTTTTAGAGGGCAGATTGACGACATTTGAAGTGTTCTTGGGTTTGGGTTGATCGAATAACAATATACCACGTAAATCTGCCTTGAAACAATTACCTAAAACAAATTCTTCTCGTGTTCCATTGATTATAACCTATTACCCAAAACTAAAAACCTACCCTGGATACTAAAAAACACTCACCTCCTTCGACTAAATTATGGGCTAAAATCCATTTTTACAGAAGTTCCTGTCATTTCTTTCACAAAAATAAAGTCAACACCATGTGGAAGTCATCCTTGCAATAGCAAGTGATGCCAAACCTGTAAGTTCATGCAGAAAACAGACAAATTTTCTGATAAGGACAACCAAAAGCAGTTCAAAATCACTAAACCCATAACCTGCTCTACAAAAAACATTATTTACTTAATCTAATACCAAAAATGCAAATTCCAATATGTAGATCAAACCAGAACAACTATACAGGAATGTTTTAATAACCACAAATCAACAATCAAAACAAACAAAGAACTTCTGGTTGCAAGACACTTATTATGCCTGGACACACTCTTGAAGACATTAAACTGAAGGGTATACAGATAAATTTTACATCTAACAGAAACAGGAAAATTAAAGAAACTTAGTAGATAGCACTATTAAATACTGTCATGCCAAATGGCATCAATCTCAATCCCAGGATTGTTGACCTACCTGTCTCTGAAAAGATTTTCAAAACTAAATTCATAATTAAACTTACTTTACATTATTAGTATTATTCATGCTTTATTTTCTCTATATCAGTATTATTTCATATATTTCCCACAACATTTTTGCTATTATTTTATTTTAAATTTTATCTTTAAAAAATATAATTGGTTAACATTTCTTATAACTGTTATCACACTTATATCTTTTATGTACTTTACACACCTGACACCAAGAATTATAGGTTATGATTAGCTAGTTTTCAAGGCTAACTCATCTAGTTTACATGCTGTCTACATCCGTGCCTATATATGTTATCACACTCATTAAACATAACCCTTTATTCTCCTGAAGAAGAATAGAGAACTGTTCGAAAGTGCTTAAGTTTGGGTCTAGTTTGAAAACCACTACAATTTTTGTATGTGATCCTGTGTGCTAACTTCTTAATCAGAATGTATATTATGGAGATGTTGGAGGCCAGTGATGCCTCACAGGGAATACTTAACCAAAATTTGCATAGAGTGTGTGTGGGAGAGTGAGTACTGAAAGTTTTAAGCCCATCTATCCTTCCTCAGTTCCTGTTGTTGAGATGAGATTTTCCAGAAAAGATTGCTTCGATAGTGTTTGTATATTTTACCTTCCAGGCTGTTCTGTTTTTAATAGTGGTAACCTATTGTATGGTATCTCAGTGTGGGACTTAGTTCCAAATGGTTGAATCTGATGACAGACTGAGCACCTCTTTGGTGTTTTTCCCCCACTACATTCCTTTTAATGAAGTATGAGAGAACCCTTGCTTTCCTTGTCCCAAGCTGCTGTGGTCAGTGGTAGTGGATGCACCCACCATATAGGAAGTAGGGCAGGAGTGTTACCTGGTAGTGTTGTATTGGACACCCCACTATATTATGAATCAATACTCATCTGACTGTTCTGAACCACCAGGAACTGAATATAAAATTGCTCAACCAACCATTATCTTAAAACTGGGCAGCTGAGCAATCTTATATTCTTCCCACCTTAGCAGCATGCAAACAGTTCTTGTAATCCCTTCTTTTGTTCTACCTCCTCTCTCAACAACAAATACAACACGAGCATTGGGTGAAGAGTATTCCTTGCTTGAGATGGATATGATCGTATACCACGTGCAGCTCCACAAGGCTACTCACCCCAACCACCTCTGGCGTAGTGGATGCCACACTCCATTGGCTTTCCTTTCCTGATGCTGTTTTCCAAATGGAACTTAACTTTGTATTTCCTTCTTTGCATCAGCCTCCCCACTATATATAGTATGATTTTAGCACCTTGCGGTGCAGAGAGGTGAGTAGTATTTCTGAAATTAACATTTTCATTACCTGAAAACGCATTTTAGATAAATACGTCTTTGCACCATCTCTTACCTTTCCTCCCCACTTCCAGTGCATTTAGTTTGCCTTATCAAGAATGAGTCTATTTTGAAATGCTAGTGCTCCTGGGATTACTGCACATGGAGGATCTGTCATCCTTCTATTGGTGAAAGACTAGTCTAATGATGATTACATCATAGGCTGGTGCAATACATGACACATGTAGGAGTGAGAGCTTTGTTCAAGGCTTGTAGCATGTGCAGGAATTTACATGATTGTGTACACAAAGTGACAGCTCTTTTGGTGCAGAGAGGTTAGTATCTATCTGAAATACCCTTTCAGGTAAGAAAAATGTTATCTTTTGACACTTTCATTGACAAAGTTACATCTATATTGGTCATGAAAACATGAAATGTATATATATGTACCTTTCTGTACTTTGGTGTAAGTGAGAATCATATACAAATTACATTTGAAATTTTCATTGTTATTTGTTGGAAAGGGAAGAACTGGAGATTGACCCCAGAGATATCCTCTACAAAGTACGGTGTGTGCTATGTCCATTCCCTTTTCTTGGTTACCAAAGGCAACTGGTTCGGGACAGTCCTGACTTCTGGGGACCATTGTTTGTAGTTATTGTCTTTGCTCTTGTCTCCTTGTATGGACAAGCAACAGTAAGTTATTTTCTTTTAAGTATCATCAGTCTGTTTTGAATATTTGATAAAAATTTTATAGTTTCTTTTATATGCAAGACTATTTAAGTGAAATGTTGTTATTGGTTTTTCTTGAGAAAATACTTGTTTACCTATGCCTACTTCTCTTAAGTAGATGTTTATAACCAATTGAAAGTACTCATTTTGAACTCTGCAATCTTCTCAGTCTTCCTAAAGTATTAACATAGGTTAAGTTGTTATAAGTGTTGGAAAGTTTGAAGGATGGTGATCAAGGCAATATTCTGATCAGAATTGAGATTTTTTAGACCCAAATACAGCTTAGTTAGGAAGCCTGATAAATTACAGAGGAATTTTGTGGTATCAGTATAGTAATTTATAATTTTTGTTATTTTCAAATGCATATATAAACCCTACAATTTTTTTTGTTTTACATCCTCCATGTGTGAAGTTTGATGAGACTTAGCAAGTATGACACTAAAACTTTATAGCATTGTAAGTAGTAGATATTATTGTTTTCTATATTTCTTTACTTAATGTTCTATGTTTTAAGAAAAATATCTGAAATTTAAGAATTTATTTGTAAATAGCAATAATATATATACATATGTAATGAATGGTAACCGAAATATCACTGTATTTTACAAAATACTGGTATGCCAGTACTAATGATAAGACATATGTACTTTATAAAGGCCAACTGTATGCTATTTGATACAGTAATGTGAGCTGTATGTGCCCCATGTGACTTATAACTTGTGAGGTGGAATTGTTAGTTAAACATGGTTCCAAAGGTCAATAAAAGAAAAACTTAATAAACATATATAGATGTATACTGTTACAACATTTAAGCTATTTAGAGAAAGATTTATGGTTTCGTGTTCCACTTTGCAGTCATTCCAGAAAGGAAGAAGGGTAATTTAGATTTATTTCCTAATTTTTTATGGTGGTTATGAAGTTGATCAAATTGACTAACCCTATATAGAGTTAAAGTAGAAAAAATAACAGATAACTATAAACTGTTTTTAAAACAAAATTTTATATTTATTTATTTGATAATTTTCAGATGAATAAAAGTATTTTTAATCTTAAAATCAAAATTACTTTGCATGTTGGATAGTCAACATTCCTAAAGAACAAATTCCTTAGCAAATCTTTAATTAAAAAATATTAATACATAATTAAAAATCCAGATATTTTGTGTACATAAGTCTTGTAAGTTCACTGATAGTCTGTAGAAGTTTGTGAAGATATGCATATATTATCAAAAGTTATAGTAGGACTAACCTCATGGTTACTTAGTAGGTGCAATACACCTAGCCCCATAGTCAGAGAGTTAAATAAAGGGTCTCTTGGGCAGTGATTTGTGGGAGACAAAAGATAGATATGAAATCTCAATTTACATGACTCTGATTTTGAATTTGCAATGTAGAAATTAAGAGAAATATGAAAAAAACACCTGCTGTTAACATGGTTTTTATCACAAATTTTTAGGCTTATTGATTTGAAAATTTTCAAATTTCCTGTCATCTCTTACTATCATAAAAAGTCTGACATTTTTACTGTGATATTATTGCTTGATTTATAATCCAAATCTCATTTCTGGTCTGATATCATAAAATACTGACAACAAGGGCCCATTTTGTGATTTAAATCTGTCCATGCACACCTCTCCTTGAGAGAAATAAACAATTATACCCTCTATTTTTTTCAGAAATAATCCATTCCTATTACAATAATGTAAAATGCTTGCCTAAACTACTGTTGATGGCAAATTTCCTTAAGTGAATCATCCTTTTAGAAAAGTAAAACTGACTTAACTGGAACATAACCCATCTTCTCCAAATGTTAAGCTTGTGTCCTCTCCTATTATCTTCAAAGTATAGCTTTAAAAAAACAGAGACATTTTCAGGGGTCACACAATTGGGTTAAAGTGCCTTTAAACTTTTCCTTCAAAGTTCTAACTTAGCTTTCTATTTTCCCCTACAGCAGAATTTGAGTCACCTTCATTTTTTAGCATAGTTGGTAACCCACTGTGCCATGGCAGTATCATCACACATTTCATTTCCCAAACTCTTAACATAAGCCAGTCATGTCTTCAAGATGCAACATGCTTATCCATATTCTCCCAACTTGGCATGCATCATGTAGACATAAGCAAGTCAGTATGCTTTTTTCAATCTCCCCACTAAGGTATTTCAGTACCAGTTACACTATTCAGTTGTTATTAAATGTTTGTGGCAAAACAATGAAAAAAAAAGTGTATTGTATTTATAGGTATGATTTACATAATTTTTATCACTATCAGTGGATTACAGAAGGGTGTTAATGATGATTGGAAAAAGGGTTATGTGTTTTTTTTCAGCACACAGATTGTTATATATATGATTTACCAATTTGTCCATAGAGCTAATCATTAGTAATGCAATTTATTTACCATAAAGTGGTATTTTAAATATCTTTACTCATTGATTTACAGATATAATTGCATTTTAAGTTTGCATTTAAATCAAACATATAATGCTGCTCATAATAGTGTTTTTCATTTGTCCAGAATGTCTCCAGAAAATTGGTTAAGCATAAAATCTTTTGAAAAATGAGTCAAATTCTGGCCACAAATGAAAAACTGATGAAAAATTATATAACAGAAACTTGAAGTAGTTTCACAGAGTTTTGAAACAGAATAACTTCAGTCTGTTGTAAAGATACCAAGGATGTTGATACTGCTGAATTTGTAAAAATTCAGGAAAAAAACACTGTGTATGTGTATTGGCATGAAAATCCTGCTAAGACTAAATATCATGATTGGCATATATAATGTAAGTTAAAAAATAAAATAAAAAGGAAAGGAAAATGCAGTGATTATAGAAATTATTGAATAAGCTGAGGTACCGCAGAAGTGTGTTACAGGCCGAAGTTGAAAGGTCACGGGCCGAGGTAGGAAGTGGGTATAACTCAAAAAACGGCTCTTCATATCAGCCTTATGGTGTCTGTTGGAGTTGAAACTTCAGCTGAGTTTATGTAGTACTGCAATAGTGGCAGCTATTTTTTTCTATGCATACCTCCATAGAGAGTGCTTGTGCACTCTTTGAGACATATAAGATGTTTGTGTGCCCCCCACACACTGTGTGTATGTTATTTTATAGAAAATCGAATAAAGTTTTTTTGTTTTTGATGGAAGGGTATGGTGCCATCTATGAATGTAGTTAACTTTAGCTTATGTCAAAGATAATAAATCCTCAATAACAGCAATAACGGGAGGTGGACGGGGTTGTGAACCCCCCATTAACATTCCCCTTGACCCAAATATCATCCCACAAAATTTGATTGAGATTGGTCTAGTGACATAGGAGTAGTTAGATAACACACACACAGATTTTTGTGCTTTATATATGTATATATAGATGAAGGCATAATTTTACTGATTATTTAAAGTGCAAATTTAAAACATTTTTTTCTTAGATTCTGAAGAAAAAAGTTCCTTAATTAATAAAAAAATGCACTAATTATTTAATGCTTCAAATTGCTTGTATACATGTAATGGAAATAATTAACCCTAAATAAACAACATTTCCTTTATTAACTGGGTTTTCACATCACGAATGTGTTTAATACAGAAATTTGAAATCTCGTTATTTTCAAAAACCTCTCCCTGTTGGCAACTGGAGGGAGAAGTGACATCTTTCTGTTTGGAAATCTGGTTTGATCCCTGGTTTTATCCTATCAGTATCCTGGATATTCTTGGAAAAATCAATAAAATCAACTCTTATCCTCCTTCTCTCAAAAGAAAATAAGTTAAGGATCATAATATATCACTGTTAGATAACTTCCCCATTCCCAGGAATTACCGAGTAGACCTCATGTGAACCCGTTACAGTTAGTCAGAATCCTTTCTTTAACTAGTGATTTGTGTAGAGATAGTTACCTCCTTTTACTTGTAATCAATGTCTACAACTATACCCTAAAATTCTGTTGAAGTAGCTTTTAGCAGCAGATTACTTTATCAATGGCTTAAGTGACTTATCCACTGCTATGCTGAGATCTTTTTCTTCAGTTGCATTGTAAAGTGGGAACCCATGCGTAGTAAATGTATAATCCAAATTATGATAACCCAACTGCATTAACTTACACTTGCTATAATTCCAGGTTATTTGCCAAATACTGTTTGAACATACCTATTGATCCCAAAAATTCTGTAGTACCTCAACATTCTCATCAACAAACTTTACTCATGTACTGATTATGCTTCAATCAATATCATTAAGCCCACCAGTGGCACAGCGGTATGTCTGCGGACTTATAACGCTGGGAACCAGGTTTCGATACCCGTGGTGGGCAGAGCACAGATAGCCCTTTGTGTAGCTTTGTGCTTAATAACAAATAACAACAATCAATATCATTAAAGTAAATAGGAAAAAAAGGCCCAAGTACAGATTCCTGAGGTACTCCACTAGTGATGAGGGTCTGATTTAATTGGATTTTATCATCCCAATGGACACAGAAGGGACAAAGTGTGCATGTTATGACCTTCTTACAGAGTTACATTCAAAATATAATAAAAATACTTTATTATAAATGTATGTTAATCAACTTGGAATCAAAATATATTTTATAAGTCAAATTTGTATCTTATTTAAGCTTTAATTTTTAATTTCAAAATGAAATATTTAAATTCTCACTCTGCCTCTGAGTCACATGACATGATGGTGCTTGGACTTCTCATCTGTAAGTTTTTCTCTTCTCTTATAAGGGCTTCAGATTGTATAACCAGTTAGAAACATATACTATAGATGTTAACAAGCCAGAGAATAAACTTTCAACCTCTTCTGGCTTTACTGAGATACCACTTATATTTGTAAAACCTACATGACACATCCCTCCCTTTATCTTTTAAGAAATGTATATAATTCTCTCTGACATTGCTGTTGAACATGTTAATAATCAATAAAAAGAGCATACTCTAGACTACATAAAACAGATAGTTGTTTTGTTTTAGCATTCAA